GATTGTCTGCGTGATCCACTTGGTGGTGCTCAGCTATGTTCATTCTTTTAAGTGACGACGTGCTTTATGAGGAAAAATGATGGACTTAAGGTGGTGCCCAACACGAAACAACCAAAAAGCTAATCACACCCGAAGCTAAAAGCGAAAGAATCCATCTTCGGCTCAGGCTTAGCCGTTGGATCCGGCTTGAGAGTGGGGCGGCCACCCTGCACTGCAGAGACCCACCAGATCTTTGACTTCTTGCTGAGCTCAAGCGATAGAAGACCATCACCTGCAGCGCAAGGAAGCACTGACTTTTTTTCCAAGAAACGTGTGATTCTACATGACTCAACGGGGGAGATGCAAACCAACAAGAAACACTTGTGTCTCATCCTCCTTTCTGGCAATTGATGTTGATCGCTTGTCCCAACACGTCCCAACTATCATCGAACCAATTCTCGCAACAAAAGGCTGGATTTCGGACATAGATCTTGGACAGCCCGAGGAGGTCCGTGTGGCGGATTGAAATGAGACAAACCCCAATGTCAGTGGTGTATTTTTATGGACCACCATCTAAAGGACATCTTGAGGTCCGTGCCATCTACTCTAAAACCACTGTACACTTGGTGGTTTTTCCTGCTTCTGAAACGGCGCGCACCTTTGTTCTTCTATTAAGAAGAGCAGTGATATGATCTTTACTTGCAGAGTGCCTGCACCCAAGCCACCAGAAGCGTATTTATCCTTTCCGCTTCTCGACCAAAGACTGAACACGACTGGCGATGTCAGTAATGTGAATACCGGGTTCATACCCCCAACGAGGATCTAGAGTCTAGAAGGTCTGTGTTCTATTGTCAGACAAATTGGTAATATCACAGACCTTCAAAAATTAAAAAAAGACTGAATCGCAAACCCAATCCAAAATGGATGGAACTACCATCCAAAAGGCTGAATCTCTTCATGTGGAGGAAGCCCAAAGATAAGCAGGATTAAAAAATGAGTACAGGCACGATCTGGAACCGCAAATCTGACTATAAGTGTAGGGTTTCATACTTCAAGGATGCTGTTTATGAGATCAAACTATGTTTATGCATGGGAATGCATGTTGTTCCAAGGAACTGCATGATTCAGCACACGAGCATAAGAAACACATAAGATGCAAATGAGGAATGATGAAGGGAATGTGAATCCATCAAGCTTCTTTGATTGGGATGAATTGGCCACAGGAGGATTGACCATTGATGTGGGGCAGTCATGAATAGAGGCTTTTTGTGGGACCCTGTTGGGAGCTTGAAACACAGCCCTTGCCCAAAAGAAGGGCTTATATACAGAACATTTTTTGGATGTGGTTTTATGATTCTGTGTGTCGAAGTGAGGAGCACTGAGATATGATGAGATAAGCATGAGCTGCCAAATTCATCGAAATGACTTCAATTACGGCCTGAGAGGTGGTATGGGCAAGCGTCGCACACCAGGATGCCTTGCATGTGACCCAAGTAAGCTGGTAGGGTATGTGTGAGGACAGAAGGAAAATGCCCTGTAAGTACATGTTAGCTGTCCGAATAAGATCGAGCATTGTAAGGGCTCCACTTTAGGGGCACGGTTGGGAGGGGCTTAGTTCTGAAAGGTTCTTGGAACCCCCTTCGAGTTCAAAGACCTTCTGCGAACCAGGAGGTGGTTCCTAGAATGAAAAAGGGTTCTGCGAAGGTCAAAAAAACAAGGTTCTGCGAACCGAATCGGTTCTCCGAACCTCATTGGGGTTCTGAGTGGTTTTAGTACCCCCTGGGCTACGCCGGTTCGCAACTACGCCCCCAATGTGGAGCCTGAATTGTAGCACATTAGCTAGTCTAGCAAATGAGGGAGTTATACTTTATCCAGTGTTGACATTGTCGGACAGGCTGGGGGGAAGGGAAAAGCGAGGCAAGCGTTCCAAATCCTTCTCAGTCGCTCAGCGTCCAAGTGCTCTCCTCCACATTCACCTCTCCTTGGATTTAGCAAACTGGTTGCTCAACATACAAGTGACTGACTACATGATTGGGGGAACAAAAGGCGTGAGTCACTCATCTGACATGACTCATCAGCGCCTGAATCGGGTGACTGGGAATCTACTTGGAGAACACCGACAGCGTATGACACCGACAGCGTCCCAACCAGCAAAAAGTGACACCTAAAGCTAGCCGTCTGGAAGGACGGCTGCGTGGAATAGAGCTCGCACCCACTCAAGCTGCGTCCATTCTTGGCCCAACAAACACGGGGACATGTGTAAGGTCCATGGTGCATCCTAGCGACAAACCCCAGTCCATACCCAGTCCAAGACACCTCCCAGTTCCGCGTCTAACAGCACTGCCTCTCCCAGCGTCACTTTGACCCAGCGCGCACGGATCTCCACCGTGGGACGTTGACCAGATCCGGATGTGGACACCACCAAGGAACAAAGATCGCTGCTCTGCATCCACGCACAGCTGGAGGTCTCTGAATCGAAGATGGGCTCCATGGGCTCCATGGGCTCCGGGCACAGCTGGAGTCTGTGCGAGTCCGTGCGAGTCTGTGCGAGGTGGGTGGCGCTGGGTTGAACAAAGGGCGACTTGGGCGTCCAAACCGAGTCACTTGAAAGGAGCGATGTGAAGACCTCCTTCAATACCGTAAATACGGTTGCACTGTGCAACTTAGCAACTGATGAGCAACATGTTCGATCTGCAACACTATTTGAGTCTTTGACATTTGAGACCACATGGTGAAAGGACGATGTGGACCTTCACGCAAAGGACTGTTCTTAGCACATCTGTAGGGACTGCTCGTTATGGAACTCCGTGGGTCAAAATTGATCAAAGGAGGGAGCAAGCAGCATAGACATGTCTTTTAAACTAAGGGGGGCCCGTGTGTAGCCCTTAGCATGCTAACTCCTAACCAATCAATCTACCTCCAAAACGGTCATCCAAACCAGCGGTACATGATGATGTGGTCCAAAATCCCGCCCAAGTATGCAGTATGGAGGAATGCTGACTCCATGGGCCGAGACTGATGGATTCTTCAAAGCATCGACGACCTAAGGTCCGAGAAATCCTCAGGTCGATTCAGGGCGCGGGCTGCCCAGGGACATATCTCGTGTCTACCTTTTTCTGTATGTGTTTGTCCTTCTGTGAGACTACAAAAAGCTCTTTTCCACGTTTCCTTCAGTCCAAATGGAGCACTCTGGTCAGCCACTCGAAACAGGAACAGCCATGTTCCACGACGTACAACAAAACTGCGGAAGCATCGACAACAAACCGTCAGTAATGGAAAAGGCTAACCTTACTAGCCCAGACCATTCATGTAATTTATGGAATAATAGTCATATACCTGCATTTCGTGCATTTACCCCATTTATGACCCCAATGTAGTAACTGTTCCATACATGGATGGTCTGGGTAGAGGTTCATATAATATGTGTTGCCGTGATTCACAATTTTGGTGCAATAAATGGCAACAACAAACCATAGGTACGGTTCTCTCAAGGGCTTTGAGCATTCATTTCATAAGAAACGACTTGACTCAATTGGAATCTCTACCAGTACCTGGTAAGTTGTTAAGCTAGTAACAAAACTCCGCCACTGCCTGGCCACATGAACTGTTATTCATTATAGTCACCAAAGAATTGATGCACGAAAAAGCGGCAAGAAGGGTCACCATTCGCGCTGAAAGAAGGGTCACCCTGCCCACCCTGCTCTCTGCACCTCGCCAATCTGTTGCTTTTTTCTCTCCAGCTTGGCTGAGATCGAGTGCGGCGTGGCCCCAGGTCGAAGGCCCGAGGACAGGATGGTTTTCCTCAGTTGTTCATCCGATTTCTTCCTCCTCAGTGTGGAGTTCTTCACCCCCGCAACCGGGCGAAGAGTGGAGACCGTTTGGAGGACAAAAACCAATGTCTCGACTTAGCTCGGCATTTGCGCTCCCAAGAAAGGATTATTCATACACATGTTGGGGCTCTGAAAAAACTAGGATACCCTAGGAGGTTTGTCAAACAAAGAATTATGCAGTCGGGTCTGGAGGTGGCTCGTACAACTCGTGCGACAATAATCATGAAGCCTCAGCCAGAACAAGGCTCAGCCGGATCCAAACACTGAATCACGTCTCCCCCAGCCTTAACATCCCCGAACTAGGCCGCTAAGCCGCATCTGTATCCCTACGCGGGATGTAAAACTGCTTTGTCACAGGTCGCTTTCAGATTCGGAAGCTACGAGTGGTACAATTCACGGTGGCAAAGAGATGAGCTGTGGGTGGAGGTGACTATCGGAATGCACAAAACTGTATATGTGGGAAACAAAAGAGCTCTCCTGCTGGATCAGCAGCTGTCAAAGCTTAAATTTCGGACAGAATTGTATCTTGTATTGATCGCCATCGTATCCTCGGCCAATTGCTTGAAAGGTGGCGTTTAAAAATACAGCTCGAACCCTTTTAGGCATTGGTAGCCTTGCAAGGGTTTTTTTTCGGAAGCTGCCGAGATTCAATAGGCCAATAGGCATCCACCAGAACCCTTATATAGATAAAAGTCCTGCAAAAAAGCAAAGCAGCGGCAGCTTCCAGCCATGCGCACCGCGTGAGTACGCGCGCAAACCCGCACGGCTCCCGAAATCATCGGCCCTCAGCTGGTCGCTAGGCAACGTGTTCACTGGGGCACACCTGGGCAGTGAGCAATGCCGTGGCTTGAACCTGGACCCTCCAACGCGAGGCGAACGAACAGCCTCATGTCTATCACCCCATGTTAACCATGGACCAAGCAAAGATCGCCGAACTTGGAAGGTAGCTGTTTATAGTGAGGAGCAGCCAAACGCGCCAAACCCAACCCAACTCTCAATCCAGCCACGTAGTTCTGTTGGGAATCGGCAACGTGGCCCGCAAGCCCATGACCAAAAGCACATTTACCGTTTACCTCCTCCTGGTGTACGGCTAAATAGGAGTTCGACCTGGAAGAGAAATAGAACAACTCCATTCTATCCCCCCGGAAACCGCGACACAAAATCTGCCACCAGGGGACGGAGCGCGGCTCATCAAAGGTCAAAAAGGCTCTGCAAGGCATGGCTCATCAAATCCTCTGCCGCAAGACTCGGGACGAAGCTGGAGCTGGGTGACACCTGCGGCGCTGCGGGAGGGAAGAGAGATCGGGGGGGGAAGAAAAATGGAGGGCTGGGGGACCATGGGGCCCTGGAAACCTAGAATCAAATTTGTGAAGATCACGAGAAGTAGTGTCCATTTGGTTGCATATGTTATCATAGGGCAACATAAAAATGCTCATACATCTTATATAAGTAATATCCCCTTCTACGTTAAGACGATACGTCAAGCATTGCAATTTTACAGTACAAACACTGCCGCATACAACCTCCCAGTGGGTGTGCACTCCGTAAAATGCTTGAACCACTGACATTGATAGCCAAAAAATATCAATATAACATCATAGACCAGTAGCCAAAATGGAGTAGCACAAACCAGCAAAAAAGTCTAGTCTATAAAATCATAGGCCCCAAGTACCGTCGAACACCAATACATATTGTTTAATATATTGCAATTGTCTATATAGATATCTACAAAGCCAAAGTAGGTTGCCAGCTTAATGAGGATGGGTGTGATTATTTTATAGAGTGTACATCTTCAATATGATGAGCGTCTGCAACTCACAACCTTTAAAATGCCAAACAAACATGCGTTATAAATATGAAGCAGCCAGGCTCCAATCTTTTGCAGCATGCAAACATGATTTCACTATAGAATCACGAACCATCGGTCTCTACAAAATCATAACATGTTTTAAGCTGCCACTGTTCATACTCCAACCAGCACAACACAACATTGCAAAACTATCCACGCGTTTGTTTTATTCAATGCCCGAGGAAACCACCAAGAGGATGTACAATATTACACCGATGTCATGATGTTGCTGGGATAGCGTGCTTTGGGGTGTCAAAGCTATTTTTCCGAGTGCCAACGTGGTTCTTGCAGAAAAACATGGACCTGTTAACTCAAAGTAAGATGATCAGGGCCAGTTCGTAGATGATGACCCAAGAATTAGTTTACGGTCCAACTCACCCCCTCCCTGAACGCTGGAAAGCAGCAAGTCTGATTTCATTTAGTCTGTCCAAAAACAGTGCGGAACCGCGCTGGTTGCAAAATTCCATGAGCGGAATTCAGGGAAAGCAACCATCAGCCGCCAGCCTTGCAGTGCATTTTATGGTATGCGTAAGTCACTTGCTGCCCTCGGATTCGCCAGGGGGGGAGAACATCAAACATCCTTCCCCTATGGGCCCACTGGCACTCTCCGAGAAGGTGATTGGGCACTCTTTAATGTAGGTGCCAGGACGGTCCAAGTACCCTCTGAGAAGGTGGATCCACGTTCTAAAATCTAACCGCTTTTTTGAGGAAGTCGAGATGTGCCGGGTCCCAAAACTTTTTTTTGACCCGTTACCCGGTGCAAATCTTTGAAAACACTCCGGAATGACCTCTGCCCAGGTTTCACGGGATTAGACTGGACGAACGTAGGGAATACCATTTCCCTGGGTTTCGTGCGCCCTCTGAACCCAGGCGCTTGGCGTCTCGCGAACGAACCGTCGCCTGTCCCGGCGAGTCGTGCTCCACCACACTGGCCGAGCGCACGGTGCCACTGCTCTCAGTGTCCCAGTGCAGGTGCCTTGGTGTCTGGATGTGTCTGGCACGTTCGGTGCGATGGATGGAGGGTGAGCACCAGGGTGGATGGAGGTGAGGCAAATGGAGCACTTGGACTGCTGGACATCGGTCAAAACATGGTGTGCACGCCACGTGGCGCCATCACGTGGCGCCACCGTGGCGCGTTTTTCGCGAGTCACGGCCTTTCGGTGGTAGGACCCTTCAGCCAAGTGAAGCAGGTCTATATATGATCTTAAATGATGTTAGATTTGTGTGTGTGGACTGATGCACCTGGACCGGACTGAGGACCATACCTGGAGTGGACATGCCCAAGTACTAAGTAATAATCACACTATATGCGGACCGTACCGGATGTGACTACACCACAGGTGCTACCTTCGAACGCTCAGATCCAGTGCAGTTTCACTGGGCAGGTAGGGACACCATCATTTCACCTCACCTCGCCTCGCTGCACGCGATGCTGTTCGAATAAAACATAATAAGACCAAACGCGTTGATCCGGCATGCCTACTACATGACACCCAGGTGTATGGGGTATGAGGTCCGGGGCCTCCACTCGGCAGGTGGCTCATCCTGAATCCTGATCCTACTGTTTGGCGAGTGGAGGATCATCTTGGTGACTCTCAGCAAGTCTGACTTCACTGGTCAGGTCAGCTTCGAAGCCTCCGACCTGCTCGGACTGCCGTGCCGCCCACCGCGCCGAGCAGCATCTCCAGCTGCAACAGTGCGTCGCTGGTCTCCATCGGAGACAGCAAAATGGCCAAGCATTGGGCACGTGCCATACGGACCTGGGAACAGGCGCACCAAAGTTGTTGGACAAAAACTCGACACGACGTGGGACCCACCTGAAATGGAGAAAACATGAGAAAACTACAACTGTTGTTGGGGTCGTGTAGTCACTATATTCACTTGCTCCTGATGGCGAAACCGTGAGCCGTTGAAACTTGGGGCCTTGTGACCAATTGAAGAACCAAAGTTAGTAAAAACTGTTGCGATGAGATCCTCGCAGCTCACTCCACGCCCATTTGTAGCTCAGACCATCAAATCATCCATCGGCGAAATCACGTAGTCGCCACACGCCTTCATTCACGAGCGGAGCCGGCTCACTCACACCCTCGCCTCATAGCTTTCGTAGGCCAAGCGCCGCACCACCAGATTCAGTGCCGCAGCATCTGCGCGCTCTTCTAGCGCGGCGTTCTCTGCGTCACGCCTGGGAGGTGTGGACGAGATTTGTTGAAACGGGGCAAGCTCAAAAAAATGGTAGTACTTCTGGATGGACACAAACACCATCCGACAAAGAGATCTTGAAATCTACATCTGTCTGAGACATCTAATGTACTTTTCTAAGATCGTTCTATTTTTGTGACTGGTACGGTACGTGGCAGTCAGCAAACTCAAACGTGGTGCACGAAGATCGTTCCTTTCTCATCCAAACATCGTCGTAGAGTCGGCGCGACAAAAAAAACGATCTTTTCGGACACCACTGGGGGACTCCACGTGTTTTTGGAGTTACGTCGTTTTCGGCTGCCCATTTTCTCTGGAGTCCGATGGCTTGGCTTCGGTCCTTTTCGGTCGAGACCTCACCCATTCTGGGAGACTTCTAGGTTTTTGTCAGTGTTAGTCCAATCCTGTCTGACACGAATTCCTGCCTTTTTCTCTTTAGAATGCGGCTTGGTTCTAACAACTCTTCCTGCTTGACCAATGCAGCTTCTCATTGCCAAGTTCTACTGAGCAATGGTGGCGGCTGCTGTCAAACATGGTGATCGAAAAGGTCTGTCAGTTCTGGATAATGGCAGCGGTTTCAGAGTAGATGGCACAACCCCAAAAATGTCATTTAGCTGGACATCACATTTGATTCCATATACACCACCGACATTGGGGTAACTTGTGCCATCTTCTCTCAATCCAGCACATTGGATTGAACTGCCACTCACCCCAGTCTCGTCTGGCGGTGATTCGGCGTCATCTCTCCGACGCGAAATGGGTCGAAGCAGCGAAATAGGTCGAACAACCTTTTTCGCCGTCTCAGTGGTTTCAGAGTTGATGGCACAATCCCCAAGGTCGGTGGTTTATATGGACCCTCATTTGTTCAGGACATCTTGGGGTGCCAGCGCCATCTACTCTGAAATCACTGCAAATGGGTTGAACAAAGAGAAATTTGCCATGAAGACTCCGGACGAGGAGAATTTTGGATAGTATTCATGAGGCAATCAAGAAGCCACAATACGGTGGCATGCACAGATTCGACTATATTTTGACAACACTTCGTTAAGTACGTGGTGGATGAAATTAAAGACTTGAATTGTCTGGACAACAACGTGTTGTTATCAATCGATCTGTTTGCCTATAACATTTACAACTCAATCAATATCATCAGCAACAATCTCTTGAATATCACCAGTTATAGCAGTGTAAACTTTCAATCCGGGGGCATTAACATGAATTCAGGTTGTGCCTCGGCCTGACCATTGCATCAAACTCAGGACTTGTGGCCATTTGCACCTCTACAGCAAGGTTTTTTTTCGATAGTCTCACTCATGGGAGAAGCAATCCTTACAAAGGTTTCCAGCAAAAGAAACATATGTCTGCAATTATCTGCACCACATATTCAACCTATCACGGAAACAACTAGGACCTTAGGAATTCACGCAATCAAAAAGCACAGTTCTTCCAAAGATCAATCACTGCTGGTACCCACACCTACAAGGGTGCATTTTCCCGTCTACATCTGGTCTCCCACAATCAATTTGGACAGCATTTGGTCGCCAGTCAAAAAATTCATCAATCAAGAAGTGAAAGTGGATGCTGAAGCAGGTCTGGATAAAGAATTCCACAGCCACAGTGAAGTTTTAATCAAAGTCACTAAAATTTAACCTAAGATATATTAATAGTTGAATGCACAGCAAAACAAGCACATGAAGAACTGCCTTCCACTACTGGTCTTCTTAAATCTCATAGCACATGATCCCCGTATAGCAAGGTATTGATTGAGTTTAAGTGATCACTTCAGCTCAGAACCTATATCCCCTAACCAAACAGTCCAAGTCAATGCTACCCATCTATACTTCTACAACGTGAGAAACATCACAGAAATAGAGTTCTTTCAAGAAGAACTGCAAGCGAACCGGGGTGAGCAAAATACAAACAGCAAGCAAGTGCTACATAGATTGTATGAAATGGCGGCTAAAGTTCAAGCCGCACAGTTTCTTCTTCATAAATCGGCTGAAACAAGCAAGAACAATGTTCATATAACCTGTTTACTTATACATTAATTCTTGATCATAATGCTCACTCACTCTCACTATATCTATATATCAGTCTTTGGTAAACCTTCCGGACATATCCGCTTGTCGTTCTTAACGCATGTGATTAGCAACTTCACACACTTTGTCGGCAAAACATGTGTTTAGTTGCTTAATAGTGCTCAATCCCCTTTATATATATATATATATGTGTGTTTTTGTTTGTTGTGATCATCCTCCCACTTTTGGAGTTCCCACTTCACCTCCTGTGTGTCTACAACCTAGTCGATTATATATATATATATATATGTTACAGACTCATATGTGATTGTTCAACACTTGTTGTTTTACTTGTTCTGGGCTTAGTTCCTTATTTCAATTATGTGCTTTGTTCTGGAACGAATTTAAATAGCAAACAGGACATTCTTCCATAATGTGCGATCATACACCATACTATAACTTTTCATATCGGATGGTATTACCTATATTCAATTTCATCAACAATAAGCCCGATACGATGTCTATTTATTATCCTTTCCTTTTGCATCTTCTTATCCCGATACATTCTCTCTCCACATCTTCAAGTGGTTCTTTCAATCGTTGGTCGATCGCTTCTCGAAATGAACAGTAAGGTCACCAACGTCAAACTCAGTTTCGTGTCACTGAACTGTCCAGCACAAATAGGTGATTTCACTGTATATAGATGAAACATCAAGGGGTTCCAAACTATACTGACTGTCATGCATATTGTGCCCCACTTGGACAAAATACATCATCTTTGTCGTAGACCTCAAGAGTTGAACCATTCTGTTGAAACAACACATTAGGAGTTGCACCATGTGAGTTATAATTAGCTGACAGTTACAGCGTATAGAATCTATTGTTTTAATGTAGGTAGGATGTATAATGATATGTCAACCATATATCTGCGAACGCCCCTAAAGATGGTGATGTGTCACAACAAATCCTTAAGATAGTTGCTACCTTCGGTACTTTCACAACTCCTACACAAGCCTTCACCTGCAAAAGGGTATACTTATTCCTTTTGTTACACAAATTGTTACATCGGTGCTAAACCTCATATACTCTTCGGCACTCCAATATACTGAACATGCACACATCATAAATCATTGTCATAACAAATTAGGCATTGTGCTTTCACGCACCGTAGGCCTCTTGACATTAAAAGAACATCTGACCTTCCAATGCAAAAGCACTTCTTGCCATGTTTTAAACCTTACTATCTTGCAGTGATTGAATAAAACAGCTTCCAACCCATGCAAAGAACTGAAATTGAACATAGTATGACTCTAATCTTTTTGAGTTTGTCTTTCTTAGACGTCCGGCATGTTTTAAGTTGTATCTGCATCTTGGTCTTACCGTGTCTTGCCAAACGAACTGATTTTGATTGACTTCCAACAACATCTCAAGATGTCCCTTACACCTCGTCATATAAATAGGCTCATACCTAGGGACCTTGTTGTTGAAATTCACTCTTCACCTTTTTCTTACAAGTTCAGAAGTACTCCTTCATACTCCTTCTCATTTTATATCAGGAGTGGCTTCACCCTCCAGAACAACCCGATATAAAATAGGAGTGTTATGGATTGTTTATCTGAAAAGCCCATGGATTCGATCTCCGCAACACGGATTCACAGGGCAGGTTTCTGCCGTTTTTTCTGCGTCTTGAGTGGTTTGGCTCTGATCGCGGCCGATGGTCAGTCACTTCAGGATGGTGCCAGCATCAATATCTCAAGGTCAAAAAACCTAAGACATATGAAGAAGTGATAGACCAACATTCACATTAAGCACGACCCAAAGGATCCAAACTCATTCAAACATGTATAACCATTGTTCCATGGCCCGCGCCCATGGCGCGCCCTCCATCCTCCCCTCGGCGTCCCGACCCAGGATCAGGCTCCTCACTGGCGGGAAGCACCTCGGAGGGTCGACCCGACTTCGGTCCGAGTTCGGACACGGTCGCCTCGGGTGGCCGGGTCGCCGAGGCGACAGGTGGTGGGATTGAAGTGAGCACAAATCACATGAAGCAAAACCAGGTGCAGGCTGGGTGATTTAGTGGCATGAACCATTCTCAACTGGAATTCATCATAGTGCGGATTGCGTCTTGCTTGCAATCGTGGATAGCTACCTGGCACACCCTCAATCATGTGCTGACGTTGCCAAGCGCGGGTGGTGCAGAATCCCTACCTCTGGCAACACGAAGTCATACAGGTACGATATCAGGACCATTCAGGACCTTTGCTGCTTGACATCCATATGCTGCATGATTTGAATAACAATCTTGACGTCTTGCGCATTGTGCAATCAAAACGATGCATCCACGAATCAGCCAGAACCGAAACATACCAAAACTGTTGCCTCAAGGCGCCCAACCTGGTAAGTGCTCATCAAATGATTCAAATGCAACTCCTCTGGAGCTGGTGATTCTCCGGCCGGCCAGAACCCCAACGAATACAGCTGACCCAGGCTGTATGGCCCTCTACAGCTCATCCGGGCGCCTCTGGCTGTGGACTTCGCTCGCGAGAACCGTAGGCACGCTCCGAGCGCGCCAGGCTCTCGGCGTAGCGGCTCAGCCGCGGAAGCTTCTGCCGAAGCGGCTCAGCGCGCGGAGGCATGCGCGGGCGATGGGGGTTGGTGTCCAGCAACGTGGCAATGCCTCGGGTTCGGACGTTTTTGGAGCGCCGAAGTAATGGTACTAGTACTTAGTAGCCTTCTGACTCCTTCCGTTTTCGTCACCAAACCTTAGACCCAGAAAACAGCAAGGAATCCATCAAGGACACTGCTGGAGCTGGAGTGACCAACTGAGGTCGTTCAATGCTGAATTTCATATGCTGGATGATGCTGGATGAGCAGTGGCCTTCGGGCAATTACTGTTCTCCGTTTGCACCAGTTGCTCCAAATGCTCAGTCCCAACAAAAACCCGAAAGTACCCAAGGCCTGGGCTGGGAGCTCAAGATTCAGACCTCATTTCCCTCTCGAGATCCATGCGGATCTGTTCTCAGCTTCGCCCGGGCAGTCCCGATGTCCCAGGAGCTGGGCTTGGAGCTCAAGCGCAGCCTTGGCATCAGGGGGCCTTCATTGGGGATGTGATTTGTGGTGACCAAGTGGCGGCGAATAAAGGAAACCATAGGAAACAAATTGAAAAAACACTTTGAGTAAATATGACACCATCTAATTCAGAGATGGAAATCACAGTTCATGGCGAAGCTTCACGCAAACAAAATCAGCAAGAGGCAAACATACATCACTCAAAAAAGGCATGGAACATCCCAAGTCAGACACCCAAAACCACTCTCAAGATCTCCCACACCATAGCTGTGGAGTTTGTATCCATCTACCTGACCTAGTTTGTGTCATTTTGTTGAAATTGGAGGAATTCTTTGACTGCAACTCTGCGACAGGAGATTGACAAGAAAACAAAGTCCATGACTTCCAACCCTCAGCAAACCCAACAGCCCACATGCCCCTGCCCCCAAAGAGTGTTTCGGTCTTCTGCCGTGTGACAAGCTAGCAGCCAGGACCTGTAAACCCCCCCACGACCGTCAAGTCGTCCAAGTCATCCTGAGCTTGCGAGTGCGCTTGGGCTTGCAGGACGTGGAATCCACTGAAGTCGCTAGTCATTGACAAGACTCAGACCTATATAGGAAGCTGCTACATGGTCAATGACCAGCTCCCTATATAATTGAATCATGATAGATGCATGCTATCATACCCTCCTTGACTCCTTGAACTATAAAACATTGTATCAATCTTCTAAATGCCTTACTGTTGGTGACTATATGTTGCGCTCCCCAAGCAGCCGATTCCATCTCCTCATTCTTGACCTTCTAGACATTCCCCACCTCATCCTCCCCCCCGCGTTCCGCACCACAACAACCCCCCCCTCTTCCGTCCACGTGGTGCACCGCGCAAACGGCGAAAACGCGCGAAAACGCGCCGCGCTCCCGGCCTCAGTTTCGGCTCTCTTCGGCTTCAGTTTCCGTCGTCTCGCCTGCTTCACTCGTTTCGACTGCTTCACGGGCTCCGTGTAGGTCGCCCGCGCCCTGAACACGGAAGAAGGTGCTCCGTGTCTTTCGGAGGTTCCGGCATGGTGGTGGTGGTGGTAGTGGTGGTGGTGGACACCAAGAACCGACAGGGGCGGTCTTGGGGACACAAGGCGGCCTAGGTGCAGGAATCGCATGAAGAAGAGTCAATCATTCAACAGTTTCAATAGTTTCACTGCTTTGAGTGATCAGCAATCGGAGAGGTGATTTGGAAGAAGGAAGTGTAGTAACAGTGTAGTAATGACATATCCAAACACATGACCTGACGAACTGCACTGCCATGAGCTGATGCATACTTGTTCTGTCATCAAGTCCAGCCATTGGAGACATGTTTTCACATCTTGTCGACTGTCTCGCATATCTTCCGGCATCTCTCCTGGATACGTATTCTGACATACCTATGATCTTCCAACTCTGCAACATCTGCCGAACTTGGCTGGTCAAAAAGGAATGAATAAAACAAACATGTTGTACAGTTGGAAAGATCTTGGCATCTGTTCCGGCATCAGGTTCGGCCCTTTGTCATTGCGGAGACCGGAGACATCTAGCCGGTGACGTTGCTCAGAGCAGCTTGCACCAAGAAGCGGAACACTGTCACGTCACATCTACCAGAGAGCCTCACCTGACAGTTGGGAAACAATAGGGATTTTGTATGATTTTGTGGACCCTTCACCCGCCTTCACCCTCCGCACACTTTGAGGAGCTCTTCCACATGCGCCAGTGTGGTCTATACACAGCAATTCCCCTTCAAACCAGCGAACGGGAGGTCTGGCTGGAAAAAAGAATGCTGGAAGACCCTCCCTGGTGCTCCAGTCGTGCATCCTCAGAAGGTTTTTGAACCCTTTGTGCATCCATTCCAAACACCTTCTCAGGAAGCACTTGGAACTCTGAAGGCCTCCCGTCCACACCAGGATATTCTCGTGAACTCGCGCGTCCGCTCGATCTCCCGTCCGCGTTCCGCACCCCGGTTTTGTGCGTCTGAACCACAGAACATGCCGTTGCTTCCTGGAGTTTAGGGCCAAGTGTGGCCAGTAGAGTTGCTAGATCAGTGGCTTAAGAAGCTTCCGTTGGGTGGGCCATCTTGGCAAAGATCTCCCCAGCAAACCACCCACCAGAAGGGTCTACAACCCTCCTTCCCACCCTCTATACGAGGGTCCAGCTTGAATTTCAACTCCAAGGCGCACGCGCACGGAGGGCAAGGAATCATCCAACCCCAGCTGCTTCGCCTTGTGCACATAGCCCTCACGCACGCCGCGCATGTTGGCAGAAGCCACCAAGACCTGAAAAAAGTGAGTTGAAGCGCGCGGCTGTTCACAGGGAAGCAAATGTCTAATCTCTAGCACCGATCAAAAAATTGCCGCCCAATGAAAAACTGTTAAAAAATCATGTCGGAGACCCCTCATTAATTTATTTTTACCTTTAGGTTCCCACTCTTTCAAATGGCTACTAAACTACCAAAAAGCGCCCAAGTTTCTTTTATTAGGAGGGGAGGGGGGGGGGGGCCGTGTTTTTAATATAGGCGGAAGGGATTCACAGGCCGAAATGGAGACACCTAGCTCCATGCCATCGCATAGCCTGGTAGACCTACCAACTACGAGTACCTCTAGTCTATACGAGTACTTCTGCGACTTCGAGCGGGTGGGACGAACCTCGGCCTGGTCGGACCGAGCCCGCTCGAAGAACCATGAGCCTTTTGACTTGAGAAAAGGGGACTGTTGCTGTCCCACTGAAAACACCTGAAAACACCAGCGCGCAAAGGACTTGAACATGTGAAGAAGGACTTGACAGTTAGAGCTTACATATTTGCTACATGCGCCGGCCGAACCAGGCGCTTCTTCCTATTTGCTCACCTAGTGGACCTCGACCACACCGCCGAGTCGCATGTCTGGGCATCAGCCGTTGGAAGGCAACACGCAGCTTCATTTCCGTCACCCTCAGCGCAAGTAAACATGTGACTGGCAGCAGGGAAGACATGGTGAGGGATCCACCTAGCTTGTCAAAAGGAAGTTCAGTTCTACCATCATCTTAATTTAAACTCTTTTCATTATCAGTGGATGACAAACTACTCTCCCCTTTAGATCCCTGTAGTATAAAGCCTCTTCAGGCTGCCAAGGCTCTTGGGCGCTTTGTAGAGGAGTGTTTCCTTAGCCAGTTGGTCAGTAGCACGAATACCGGTTTGCACCTGCTTCAAGGTATATTTATATATGGAGACTCATTCTCCCTGAACGAATCCATATAGTTCTTTTCTATGACTTGTAGTGGTTTGGGGGGGTAAAGCAAGCCATCCACTATCATCCACTGTTCCACTTGGATTCCACCATCTGGAACAAGCAAGCTCAACGACGCTTTTGATGTTTTTGGACTTGCGGGTGTTGTAATGTGTTCGGGATTGTGAGGTGTTGCTTCTTTTTTGCGAAGTTTTGGGGGGGCGGGTAAAGTTGGCAGTTTGCTTGGTATATATTGTTGACTTGACAAGCGCCCGCTCAATCTTAGGAACTTCTGGTGGTTTTAGGAGTTTGCGGGAGAAAGTTTAGGCCGCGTTCTGAGAGATAAACAGGCAAACAAGGACGTCCACAACAAATATATCCGGAGTCTTGGAGAATGAATCTCCGGGGACTATACCTCATCACACACATACACACGATGGTGAAGGTACGGTACAGCATTAGTCGAACATGGTTTTTCACTTCCTATACCACAACGCTCCATGTATGGAATATAATATATGCCTACATTGGGGTGGTTTTGGAGGTCAATGTAGTCACATGTATTATATATTATATTATATATATATTACATACATGGAGCGTCTGGGATAGGTCATACTCACATCCTTTCAACGAACTGGCCATGCTCTTATTGGTGACCTCATTCGGTCGCATGAAGTCATTCAACCGGACTCGCAGGAAGAAGCGGACGGTGAACATGCTGGATGCGTAGTCCCGACAAACATTCCAGTCACTCCAGTCGTACCGAACCTCGGAACTTGGACCCTCCTGGCACCTATATTGACAGTGTCTCCTCACCGAACCTGAGGTTCGGTACGACTGGATTCCTTTTTAGGAAGTTACAGTGGTTTCAAGAAGTAGATGGCACGGGCACATCCCCAGCCAGATTCATTGACCCTTTCTAGGCCCCCAGCGAAACACAGCTTCGACACTTCGCTCGTGTCGTCCAAGTGTCTACCGGCGGCAGCCGTGGGGTCCGCGCCTGTCTGCAGAGTCCACGCGCGGCACGGACCGTGCTATGGAGTGAATCGAGAGAGTCTCGCCGGTCTGGCGCCCGATCGACGGATCCACTGGCACCTTCGACTCGTTGATGTAGGTGGTCGCCAGGTTGGGTTCAGTCGCACCGAACCCGAGGAGGTATGTGGATCCCTTCAAAACCTCTGGTTTTAGGGCCGCTCCAACCCCCGTGATTTTGAGGCTCATCGGTGGAGGGCGGATCTGTAGGGCCTCCAGCAGAAAGCTTCGCTCCAGGCGCTTCTGGCACTGCCGTGGCGCCATCAAACGCTGTGACGGCGCCTGGGTGACTGCCAAGTCCTTGGGCGAGGTCACAAGGGTAGAGCTTGCTGAGCTCCCCATTGACCTCTTTAAATTTACTGGATGTGCCCTTAGCTGCACTCACTCATCAAGGGGATGATAATGCTTTTGAGGGACCAGGTGGGCTTAGCTGTGCCGCATGCTTCGAAACAACGAGCTAACAATGCTTCCACACTGCCGCAGTGTGGATCCACTACAGCATTCTACCATGCATCTGTCCAAACAACAGGAACCTTTGGTAGCCGTTGACCTACCAATCTTGCTGCGGGCCAAGCGCCCCTCTGGATAGACTATAGACTCAGTCCTCTCTATGGACCTTGAGGCACACGCACACCAGCGCGCCTAACGTGCTCTGAATTGGAAGTCCTCTCTCGCACGAGACCGGTGGGTCGACGTGTCTTTTTTGAAGGGTCTACCGGTCAGTGGATTGAGAGTAAGTATAGATGCCATGCCAAGTTGGGTGTTTTTGTGGACCTCCATCAGTCATTCGACATCTTGAGGTGCCAGTGCCATTCTGCTCTGGAAAAAAACAGCAAGCACAGGTCTGTCTTTCCATTCCGCCGAAGCGTCGACCACTTCTTCCTGTGCCTCCTGCCAGAAAAAACTTGGGCGTCCGCCGCAAAGCCTTGTCCTGCAAGCTGAGCCGTCTATCGGTGCCGATCAAAACTGCCCGATAGACGAGTGTTCAAAAGAATCCTCGGGTAAAATGTTCAGCTCCAGTTTCCGAGAAATTGCTTGAAACGATAGAAGACTGAGGTGTTGAGTTAAAAAAATGAAGCAGGAAATTTGGATGATCGCCTCGGATGCCCAAACCCAGCTGAAGCGAATGGAATCGCAGCCTCCGCTGCCCAGAATGGGTCAGAAACTACCAGAGCCCCCTAAGGGGTGTCATAGACACCCATTAAGCTCTAGGGAGCTATTGTTGGACACCTGGTAATACCATGTATAGACTAGATGCTCTACGACTCTACGAGTATCAATGAACATATCTTCTACTCTACCGACCCTACCCACCCCACGATCGATCTGCTCAGCAAAGCTCGCCTGTCCTCGGTGCCTCTGACACGGCTGGGCTGAGACTTGGCCTTCTTATGGTCCACCAAAAAGGCCTGGTCGCGCACCGCGCAGCGCAATTCAACGCAGCTTTTTCCAGAGAACGGTGGGGGTTGATCTGGAAACTGGTTGCGATGAACTCCTTGCGAGGGAGACGCATGGCGACCTTCCAAGGTGGAAGAAAACATGACCTTCCAAGGGTCAATCAGCATTAGGCTGTTCAATGTTCACCTTCGACGGATGCCCATTTCTGAGGTGGTCCGTATCTACACCTGAGATTTTGTCAGAGGTGGTGTTGTTACCATCCTCGGGACACTACGGTTTGCCTACGGTTCCAGTGTGTAAATTTACCGCCTACCAGAACCTACGAAGGTGAGGTTCGAGAAATGCTGCTCCAATTTGCCTGCGGTGCCATGCTATGATTGGAAACGTTTGCGCAGGAGCTCACATGCACTCTATGGCAGTATGGGCAGGTTGGTTACATTGGCTACGTGCTTCAGAATGGAAGAACAGCAAGCAACGACTTCATGCTCATCAAAAGCTTCCCACATTACTTCAATGGCGAGGGACGATACCACGCGGCGCCTGTGCTTCTGTGTATGCACAGCAGGTTTTGACGTCTACTTGACGTCTACTTGACAGGTCGAGTGGACATGGGGTAAGGATCACGACGTGCATTGACGCCTACGGCCGTACGGAGAACCTGCAGTGCGCCGAAAATGCACCAAGGAAACAGAACAATGTCCTTTGTGTGTTGGGCGTGCTCATGTCTGACACCCTGAAATGAGAAGTATGGGCAGTATGGGCTATATCGAGACCCAAAAAAGCCAAAACCCCAAAGTGAATCAGCATCAGCTGGGTGACTTCAAGGCGTGTTTCAACACCGGAAAATGCCTACAACAAAACGCCCAGGCCCAGCTTTCCGCCAAAGTCCTTGAAGGTGATATGTTGTATTTAAGAAACTTTTCAGAATTACCACACTTAACTCAGGTCACCTAGGAACAAACGCGTCAGGAAGAGTGGGCCAGCATAGCTTTGCGTCTTTGCGTGCAGACGTTTGGGTCTGGCTGATCGCGTCTAGACGCCATCCCTGAACCGAATGCCAGCTCCCCGCAGTTTCTAAGTCTCGAAAATGACATGGGCAAGTCTCCACTCGTCCATTATTATTTTTGCTGGGATCTGCTCAATATATAGAAAGACGGCGTGTGCTTGATAACGCTCTGCTCTCCATGTCTTAGAAGAGGGGATTCCGCTGGCTGATAATTGAAAGATGGTGCACGAGAACCTGCCCTGGGCAGCCCTAATAAACATCCACACTAATCATAAGATACTATAAATTATATATAATTGTATAATATACTGTATATCTGTTGCGCACAGAGAATGGTATCCAAGTTGCAAACTACCCCGATTGCAAATTGAGTCCATCCGGATATCTTAAAAGTTGCCTGGCTCTTGCTGACTATGTTAACAATGTTGCTACCTCCCTATGGACCACAAATCCTTGTGCACACCTTGCGGGGTTGCGCACGCAAGGCGTGGCTGACCAAATCCTTGTGCACCGCATTGATGATGCACCTCGATCGCAAAAAGAAAAGGACCACCCACTGGTGTTGCATAGCCTTTTGTCTCCTTTGTTTCTGACAAGCACCAAAAATCCAAAGGAAAAAGACGGATTGACAAGCACCACCACTATACCACGGTGGAATCCACTGAGGACGAATTGGTTGAAACTTAGAAGATCTTGGAAGATGGGGCTGAATAGCCAACTCATGTGTTGCCTGCAGCAGTGGAGCAGGCCCAAATGAACAGTTCTTCAACTCTCCATCAGTTTCTCTGTGACACGAAGGGGCATAATCATATGGTAGTTAGGTAGTTACAACTCACGTAGAACACAAACAAGATTGCGAAGCTGCACCTAAGGTAATAATCAACTTTTCTGAAGCCTACTTCGCCCCAGCAATGCCCATCTGCGTCTCAAGAACAAACCAATGTCCTAAATACCATTGATGAACAAATCCTTGACCACCGTTTCATGTCTCAAGCACGATGGAGGCGGTTCGAGCCTCTCAACCACAGGTCCAAGTGACAAACAGCATGCTGTGATGGTCGCGCTGCGGTGGGTCTGGCCTGAAGTTGGCAGGCCACACCCGCAGCAAATTGTTCAACCCCGTCTTCGGTCTTTAAACATTTTTTGACCCAGAGAAGAGGTCGTTTAGATTCGACTGACCTGTGAGCGATCAAGTAGGGAGTCATTTTGCAGGTGAAACCCTGAAGATTGGTGAGATTGAGATATTAATTATTAGCTAGTTTGCAAGCTGCTGGTAAGACTTGGATCCATAAAAAGGTGGGCTGAGCTTGTTCTATCAAGCTTCCAACATATTTTTCCACATGTACATATACATCAAGTTAGCTACGTCGTGGACCATCGTGGACCCCTGCTCAGCCTGCGCGATATAATTGATTGCACCCCGCTGGTCGTCACTGGATGCTAAAACTGTGACCGTATGGCCTGACCAGTGAGTTCCTTGGAAGCTGTAAAACTCTTCCAGAGAAGGTCTTCTCCTTCTCAGCTCTTCAACGAAGCAGCAACCTTCACAAAACTCCGCAAAGCCGCCCTGCCGAGGAGGGCCGCCTGTGGTGGCTAAGGCCGTGACCAAAAAGGACCATTTCACCGAAGGTCACTCCTTCTTCCAGAAAGCTGGTCTTTCCTGCCAAGGTCAGGGAAATGCCATGATCTTCCCAAGAAGCGTGGTTTGGAACAACATCCAGTGGATCCCTTTTGGTGGAGGAAGTATATAAGTATTGAGTCGAGCCTATTGGAGATCTACATCATTAGCTTACTGATCTCAAGACAACTGGTGAGAATCTAGCAGCCAGCCTTCAGCTGTAAACTGGGTCAGCACTTATCGGCATACAAATCACGCTGACTACAATCCCACAGTCTAGCAGAAAAAAAGCTCCTCTTCCATCACTTTTGCATGCCATGACGGCCGAGCACTCCTCACACCCTTTGAATCATCATCAACTCATGACGCCGCACCACATGCGATCCCCACAGGTGCGATCCCCGACTGTGCGAGGGGGGTGTCCTTTTTCGATCTGAAACCCACCGTGCCACGGTGGATTGGTGTCGTTTACTGTGCTGACACACCGATCGACACACCGGCTCACTCGACGTGGAGTCGAGTAGAACTTCGAGGCCTTCCTGGAAGGGTGCCTTGAACGGTGGCTCAGTTCAGCGCTGGCTCCAACGGCGCTTCATCGAAAGTCAAGAGCACTATGCTCAGTTCGGAGTCCTTGTGATTGCACTTCAACTCTTCCACGCATCCTCAGCGACACATGCAGTTCGTTCTTGCGGGACATCTGCAAGCTCGAGATGGCATCGAATTGCGTCTTAAGGAAGGAGAAACCATGAGAAACCTAAGAAGAGGAAGAATAAAAACAAGAAGAAAAGCAAATAACATGCTTAAAAAAAACTACAAAGAAATCACAAAATAAACGTCGCTTTTCTGACTAGCTACTTCAAATAAACTCTCCAAGTGTCAGGATAAAAATGAACTCTCCCGTATCACCGTCGCTGAAGATGCACTGGCCCGGCAGAAAAGTCCGCAGGAAGATATTGTCGCTCAAGAGGCCGAGCACTTCCTCAACCGGCGATGGCAGGAGCCGAGCCATCACGGAGCCGAGCCCATCGACTAGGCTAGGCTATATGGGAATCCACTGAAATAGAGCATAGCAATATATGCATGCATTGATCCATGTGGTGAGTGTTTGCGAACCGCTTCTTGGACTCGAGAAGACATCTCAATGCCGGACTTGTCGTTTCAAAACATGGCGACCAATTCCAGAAGCATGGTGTTCACTTCCGTCGTCGGATCCTGAAGCGGCCATTTGTGCCTCTGAAGAGGTCATGTCTGATCCTCATCGTCACGCCCCAAAACGTCCCTCGATCCAGGGTTGAGTTGGTCCAGGTTGGTTCGGGTCAGTCACTGAGCCAAGTAAACGCGGTCTGCCCACTGAAATGCAAGCGTTGACAGGTGTCGCGTGTGGACAAATAGCACGTTGCATCACGTTACATCATATGTATCATCATGTTACATAGTATATTCAAATAAATATATATTTGATCGTACATATTACTTATATAATATACTATATATTACATCATATTATATGCATATCCTTCTGAGTGTTCTACCATGCCGAGTGGATAGCTACAGTCCTTTGGCGGTCCAGAGTAGATGGTCTTCCGTCGCCCAGTGCTTCGTCGCCCACCCCTTCACCGGCCCCAAACTCATTCCCTCGTCAAAACCCGTTTGCTTGGTGACCAGGACGTCCTGGATTTGCTTGCTTGGAACCGGGATGAAGAAATACCTCCCCGATCTCCCCGTTTCAGAGGCTTCACCCATAGGAAGTGCCACCACAAACATCACCTGATCCGCAAAAGCAGGTAGTGACATGTAGTGACCACATGTGATCGTCATGTTCAACCCAAATTGCGGTGGCCTAACTCTGAAAGGAGACGGCCCGAGGATCCGAGTTGAATCTCCTCCAGGTCTTCATGTTCCTCATGTTGGATCCTTAGCAGGAAACGACCGGAGGCCGCGGAGGTGTACCCCGGGTGCCCTCTTGGAGCGAAGGAAGAACGTAGGTGGGGGCCGACTTCGGAAGAAGAGGGGAGCAAGAACGTTTCAGGTCTTGCTTCATCTAGGAAGCTTGATTCATCTAGGAACCTTGATTCATCTAGGAACCTTGATTCTAGGAACTCGATTCCTGTTTTGCATAGATATCATGAAGAAACTTCCTTCATCTTAAATTCATATATATATATATATCTATATCTCTCTATATATGTATATATATATATGATTCTTTAATCCTTGGAGGGGACCTCAACGTTGCTCACCATGCAGCCCGGGGCGCTCAACTTGCCGTGGATCTCCTGCGTCAACTCCTGTGCTCAGCCAATTGCGGCCTCCAACCTGGTAGCAATGGCCTCCACCCTACTGAAACGGGAAACAAATTAGATGAGTTTCAACGCGTGCATCTGTTTTTTACATGTTCAATAAAGGATGTGAATTCTCGAAGGTGACCAAGTGATACCCTACACCTCCAGTCATATTACTCTGAGGTCCGGTGTGGGTGCGTGCGTGCCAGGAGGGTCCATCCAAACCGCTGGAGCGGCTGTGGCTCCGTGCCTTTGAAGAACCCGGTGCGATGTGTCCGGTTTGGTGTGACGGAAAAAGGTGCCCGCCATCTATCATTAAAATGGTGTTCATATATAGGTAGAATCAGGTAGAATTTAGCTTGAAGAACCTTAAGTGAACTGGTTTACTCAGCTATTCCAACCACATTCAATTGCACAAGTGGAGGAATACAACCCACCCTGTGACAAGATCTACGGGATGCAACCAATTCTGCGGTTTTTTCTCCCACCAATCGAGCCGAGGCGTTACTGCGCAATGGGCTGCAACCACTTCGAGTCTTGACCCTCCACCCCTTGGTCTACCCTTCATCTCCCAGTCTCCTGCATCTCTTCCGTCATCTGCTCCACGCGCCGACACGCCTCCGTGCTCGGCACGTGCTGCGCACGCGTTTGAGCGTGCGCCGCGCGCGAGCCGGGTGTGTCGGCGTGGCTCAGCTTGGAGCGGTGCAAGCGCCAGATGACCGCAGTGGACTTAGCGGTCAAGCTGGCCTGGGATTGTGGCGATGCCGTACTGGACAGGGGCGATGTCATGTTTGGCACCTTCTCAGGCTGCCAAAATGGTACCTTGTCAGGTGAGGACGGAGACACTGTTATGATGTGTTTCAGAGGGTGCAGTCGTACCTTTTGAGGTAAGGTACTTGGACCCCTAGGGACCCTAGGGCCTTAGGGGTTAATGTATATATGTGAAACCAACAAAAACAATGAACACCACTTCTTCGCGATCCGGGGTCCTATCACGATACCGCACCAATACTGCTGGCAAACATATATCCAGTTCCTTTCCTACATCATTTTTACATGTCCCTTCCTGACTTCAGACATCTTCAGACACATCTCAAAAAAATCTCAAACATCTGACTCGTCTGGCACTTTAGGCTCCAGCTGTCTGTCTGTCCAGCTCCCGTCCCTCCAAACGCCTCAACCTCCCAGCTCCGACGGCCCGACCTGCCGACCATCCCGCCGAGGTACCGCGTGGTGCCGCTCGGCGAACAAGCAGAACTCGTCGAAGTAGTCGGGCGCCAAGGCATCGAAGGTCACGATGCCCTGCCGGGACCAGGTCACCTCACCTCGGTGGCAAGGTCAGCAGGTCAAGGTCAGTGAGAAGACGAGCCGGCTCGTCGTTCACGCAGGTCCGGTGGGGCAAGTGGGGCAATTGGGGAAAATCAGAAGTTTGGGGGGTGAAAACTATGGAACAGCCTGCAAATGTTCCCTTAAACTTAAACCACCGAAAGAATGTTAACACATCAATTCATTTCGTTTGACCTTCCCGCATGATGTTCTTCAGCAAAGTTCAGGATGCTCCCCATATTTCATCAACATTTGACGCTCTGTTTGGAAAAGTCTCGTCAGCGAAAATTTGGGCTGAAGGTCCACTGTATGTGTGTCCTCTATAGAATGCACATGCCAGGACCTTCCAACAGGTGGTGGCTTTAGAAGCCTAACAGGTGGTTTCTGGGCACCTGTTGTCACCAGGAAACACCTGTTGGAGGGTCCAGATGTATATTAATCAATGTTATATAATATAATATATATATATATATACTGTGTATATATATATATATACAGTGGGCCTATCCCATTACCAGTAACAGTGGATCTTTTTTGGTTAGCAAAGGCCTCTCTAGAATAGTGAATAGTGATACAGTAGCTTGTTTAAGCAACTGTTGCAGGTCATCGGAGAAACCCAACACATAATATATACACATATAACATCAAACAAATGAACGGGCCACAAAAGACTAAAATGAATGAAACCTGCAACCCACCAACCTCTCCCAAGCTCAGCGCCAACTCATGTTGTCTGGCTGAAACAAAAAAAATCAAGCCTGGAGATGTGTGGCCATGTTTGGCCATGCAAGTTCTTTTTCAACCTTGTCAGACAACCAATCACCCCGAAAAATTGGAACCTGGCATGGAACGTTGGAAGGCCATTTTCCTCTTCCCACCCAGGTCGTTCCATCCACATCCACGCCCAGTCCACTCCAAGAGACCCGAGATGAGCAGCAGCACCGCGTCGTTCGCCACACCCTCTGGCGCGATGAGGCACCCGGCATCGTAGACCGCCGCTTGGAAGTTTTGCGCCAGCGACTGAGGCGGTGCCGCGCGACGAGGCGACGGGGATGGAAGTCCGGACCTTTGATCGGGTGGATGTGAAAGATGTGGAAAGCCCCTATGGATCCACTGCCACCTTCTCAGGTACGGTAATTGAAGACTATTGATGTAGGCGCCAGGAGGGTCCAATTACCGTACCTGAGAAGGTATGTGGATCCATAGGGAAACATGTGCCCATTCAGTCATGGATTGTTGGGTGCAGGAACGGCTATACGAATACTACACGGGTGCCTGGAACTACACCTCGCCTCACATCGGTCGACCACTCCAGCTACCGCGAAAAGCGACCACGCGGACCGAAATTGGGCGGTTTCCAAACAGAACTTGGAACCTGGGAAGCCGGGAACCAACAGGATCTTCACCTGAATGAGGGGCAGTTCGGCCCAGGAAATCGGCCCCAAAACTTCAAAAGCTACCTCCGCAACAACCAGGAGAATCACCTTGAATTGATCACATGCAAATTCCATCTTCAAGGTCCAACTGATTTTTTGCCCAACGCAAATCCTTTACCACCCATCCGATCGAGAATGGAAGAGTCTTTTGTGGGACAAGTGGCTGCGCAAAATTCTGCGTCAATCTCCTGAGCAAAAACATGATGTGGCTCCGGCATCAAAAAATGCGACTCCGGCGCATGGGCACTTCCATGCCCCCCGTGTTGTTGGATATTGGGAATTGAACCTGCTTTACAATGTGTCATCACACATGGGCAACATAGCTACGCCCAGGGGCTCCTGGTGCATCTTTAATCGCTGAGTCTGCTTTCCCTGGATTCAATTTGCCACACACTGAGTCTGTCCAAAGAAACCACGAAAAGAAACCACGTCCGAGATTCGCAGTGGCCCCTCACAAACAAGATCAACTCAAAAAGTCGATGAGAGCGCAGTGTCTTCGACTTACCTTCTCCCACATATTCTCCCAGGTTCCAATGTACAAAAGACCCTGCAAAGCAACGGCTGAATGATGTCCCACCTGGGCGGTCACATGCTGCGATTCCAGGTGACGACCCATACGAAACAAGAAGCTCAAGCGTTCCACCCAGACAAGCTCTCTAAGTGTTGAGAACCCTGCACCAATATGAAAAACACCGGCGCCCAGCGCCCATCGGTGGCAGCAAGGAGGAGTTCAGCAACCATGTATACTATACATATTTGTATGGCGTTCTTTGGGTGAGGCTAGTCCATGGGACAAACTCCTGCACCCCTCGTGGACAACAAACTACCACATCATGCATTCCAAAAAACTCTCATCTGTGCCAAACCCTCATGTCAAATCATGGCAAAATCCTATTTGGAGATCCCGGGCACACCCGTGGCCATCCCTAGAAGTTTCCAAACCCCATCTTTCCACAACACATCCCTTGCACGATCCATCCCAAGCACGGCCCTACATGGCCTTATCATCAGCCATCTTCTCCCAAGCCTCCTTCCCAGCCCATCCATCTCCCCTGTCTGAATCCCAGGGGCACTAAGGTTTCTTTGCCCTTAAACGGATGATTCGGAGGGACTTCCTTCAGCCCAGCCAGCTCCAGCAGCTGTGGCAGCTGGTCGGGGAAGAACATCAACGCCTGACCGCTGCATGTGGTTGCAGCACCCGGTACGAGCAGTGCTCGCGTCACCGCCTACAGCGCCTACCGAAGCCACATGGACGTGGCCCACACGGATAGAAACCGCAGCAAACAGTGCTCTGGGTCCAAAGAAATTCTAAAGCCGGTGCTTCTGGAGGAACTTCTACAAAGTTCACACCTCGTAAAGCCTCTCGAAGTGAAAACGACTTGCTCGAGCACCGCCGGGCCCTTGGAACGGGGCCTGTTCGACCGCCTTCCAGGTGACACGCACCAAGGTACAACCTTGACGTCCAGCCATGAGCTTATAATCAGCTGGCCCAGAGTGGAGTCCTGACGGCGTTCTGAGAACGACCAAACAACCGGCGCGCCGGTTGATCTGCGTCGATCCAAAAAAACACGGCGTCTGCCCAAGCGGCCCAAAGCGGCTTTGAGGCCAAACATCTCCCACTTCTTCGCAAAGCGCGAGGTCACCTCCGCGCGGATTCTTTGCGGATTCCGTGCGGATCTGTGGGAATCGTTGTGCTCGTTGCAACGGATGAGGATTGACACACCAGAGTCGGACGTAGGGTGATCATTGGGGGCTTGTTCCCTATCTGGCTGAAGCCTGAGACGCCGTACCAGTAGAACGCCTTAGGTAAAACATCGTTCGTTTCTGTTGGCAACTCTGGAGACAAACAGGTAGGTTGATTGCAGTAGTCAGCCTGGCAGCTCATGGCGGTATTTTGGGGTCCATAATATGGGTTCATACTCGCCGATGATGATGATGATGATGATGATGAGGAGGAGGAGGATGACGATGATGATGATGGTGATGGTGATGACGATGACGATGACGATGACGATGCTGATGCTGATGCTGATGCTGATGCTGATGATGATGATGATGATGATGATGATGATGATGATGATGAGGCTGATGCTGATGCTGATGCTTCTGATGATGATGATGAGGAGGAGGAAGATGACGATGAGGATGAGGATGAGGATGAGGATGAGGATGAGGATGAGGATGATGATGATGATGATGATGATGATGATGATGATGATGATGATGATGTGGTGCAAAATAATCTTCGAGATATGGTTGCTGATTTGCTTTTTAAAACCAACCCATCCAAATCCCTCAAACATAAATTAGAGCAAAAAGGCCTTCGTAAGGATCTACATCTTCACATGTTGGACGATGTTGGTGCTAAAGAGCACTGAACAAACAAAAACAAAGAAGAGCAGATTGCACAATTTCCCTAAATTCTGGGTTTATATGGAACCTCCCAGGCATGTATCGCATGGATTGGGGGTGGCACGTGCCAGACATGAAGGCCACCGTACGAACGGCCACGCCTGTTCGGACTCGGTCTCCACAACCAGATCTCCAGCGTAGCAAAGATGCATCACCTCCCAGCCACAGCGGCCACTGCAAAAAAAACACGCTTTGGAAGCGGAGGAGACCTGTTGGAAGGTGCTGGCAAGGGGTGTCTATTTATAGCCCCTTAGCTGCTTTTGTGGGGTTCCATTAAGCCATTCCTTGAATGCTCCACTGTATGCGCGTGTAGGTGTCAAACTTCACAGCTATGACCACCCCACAGGAGCCAAAAAGCATCCTTTTCGAAATAGCGGTAGCTGTGAGATGCCGTGAGTATCACTCTTCAACTGGTCAGCTGGGCTCAGCATGGACAAACACACATGTGACGAAAGCCCTAAGAATTATATTATATGGCATCCAATGCCTGGTGGCCCAGTGTTCCCTAAGATAGCAGCCTTATATGTATTTTTTCCCGAGTGTTCGCCTTCGATACCACCCTTTTTTATTCTGTGGCAGCTCATCTCGCGACCCCAAAAAGGACTGTTGCTGAAGAGTTCATATGTTTGATTGCCAGTCACTTTGGACTCAGTTTATTAATTGGTTGATTGTTCATTGGCCAACAAGCATGAGGGGTGAAGAACACTTGTTCAAACACAACAACCCCATCAATTTCAATGACAAACGCATTGTGCAAAAGGGACAAGAAAAACAGAAGGAGGAGAAAGGGAAAACGAACGTGAAGGGAGAAAGGGGCAAAAAAGGATGCCAGGCTAGGCCCTGGCAAAAGAGAGAAGAGAGAGAGGAAAAGACAGACATGGAGCCTGGCAAGAAAAGACTAAGACAAAGAAAAAGAGCAAGAGAGAGAGAGGGAGACATCATCTATACACCGGCCATGGCCCGGTTTCCGGTCAAGGGTTCGGAGAGCCTCCTCCTGCCCCGGGACGATGGCAGCTTTCGGCCATGCCAGCTGCACTACTTCACACTCTGTGCAAACCAAATGCCTCATGGCAGCGTCAGTGAAAACGGAAGCCGATGCTTTGTGCCAATGTGTTAGTTTGATACAAGATACACATTTGTTGAGGAGGGAAGCAGAACAGGTACACTACTTCCGAGTACAAAACCACGGGGTGTATGTACTATGATGCGCTACGGTTGCTTTGGCCACAGGACTGCTGGGACTTTTTGGGGAATGTGCGGTTTTGGTGACCCGATGATGAACATGGTGTTTCTGGGGACCCGATGGGACCCGATGGGGCGCCTCTATCTGACACATCAATTGCATGGAGGCAATCAATCTAATCCTGGGTCCCTATGTCCTTTGTTTGGCTTCTGAACTGTGCTTGTCATCTTGTCCATTGTATCCTGGTCTGGGCTCCTTCCACACCTGCTCTTGAAGGGCGGCCCCTCTGAAACATCCCTAAACCAACCTCCTCACAAATTGTGGCACACAATACCAAAAAGGCCAGCGGTTTTCAAAACAGAGTAAGCTATATAACCTGCTTATATCGTTGGTGTATTTCCGCTGTATGTGAAGCATCGTTCCCTCTCAATCAGCTAACCGGCAACTTTTGGGTTGTCAGGGGTCAGGAGAAGTTGTCAAAGGTTCCCTCCGAACAGATTGTGTAAAGCGTAGGCCCAAGGGATCCAAACACCTTATCAAAAGGTATACTTAGACCCTCCTGGCGCCTACATAAACGAGTCTCCAATGACCTTTCTCAGAGGGTATGCGGATCCATGGGGAAGGACCATGCACTCCAGTCCAGGTCCAGCTAGTCATCTGCACGTTCTTCTTCTCGAGTCATGCTGTTTCAATGACATCGAGGGCGAAGCGACCACAGTCAGGTGCTTCCGTGCTTCCGTGGTCAGGGGATGATTTGATGAAGCAGGTGGTTGTGCTCATCTGCGTGCCCCTCGGATGCCACAACTACATAGTTTCTCCCAAAGAACTCGATTGATCAAGAGGGGGGACATATGGGGACATCCTAGAAACATCCACCCCGGATTTCTGAGCAAAGCCAAGCTGAAGAAGAAACATGAGCCAGGCTAGGCGCAGAAAGGCAGAGTCGCACATGCTGAAGGGCTCTTTCATGACCTCAACTCATCTGTGAAGACTCGGCACGGCCCACGGCGGCCCACGGTTGGTGCCACACATGACACAGCTCAACAAACAGTGGCGACCTATGCCCGGGATTAGCTGCATTTGAGAATTCGCTGAGCTATTTGGTATATTTGGTGGACTTGCGGGCCTCCAAACCAATACAGTGGAGCAAAAACATGCAAACATGATCAAATATGATGATTGCTTGATACTCTTGATCTTGCTTGGATGGATTTAATCCTCCAGGAAACACACACACACACACAAAAAAAAACAAGCACGTTCGACAGCTGAAAACGCACAGAACCCGGATCTATCACTCTGTTTGTCGGTCGCCTCCTGTATTTCGCCTCTGGATGACGTCCATGTTTTGATGGTCTCCCTGATGGGTGGACGAGAGTCCGATTTGCTAGGAAAACACTTCTATGGACAACATATATACCACAAAGGGCCTTTTGAACAGACAGGGGCATTCTTGTTTGACCCGAAGTCGGGTCTTCCTTTGGCACATCAAAATTTGCAGAAATACCTATACAAGTGTGTAAAATCCCCATACCTGCCGCAGGAACAGTGCATAGTGGATGATCAGAACTCCTCCGCAAACCCAATCACAACTATGCTATACCACTTCAACGATCAAAGTACCTTGCGAGTATACTCATCCTATGGCCATGCTAAATCTGGATCCCTATCCTGGAATTTGGGCATTCAACCAAGCTGCGGTCATGGCGATGCGGTGGCGCACCTGTTCCGCCAGCTTGATCTTCCTCGAGGTCACAGTCATAGGATCTTCTGCGCAGTTCTGTGGCTCTTGGGTTGAGAAACCACTGGTTTCATCCCTCTAGGCCTCTAGGGTTTTTCTACGAAGTTCCATGCTCCACCTGAGGGCTTCCAGACTGAAAGGAGTGGATCAAAGCTAGCGAAACTCCTCTCCGCATGTCCAAGTGCTTGATCACGTGTGGTGATTGCCGGGAAGTGACCACAGAATGGACCGACTTAGTCCTCAAACCAAAGAAGCTTCAGTGGATCAGAAGTAAAGATCATGCCCCTCAATATCCCTCAATTCATACATATATTTGATTCCAACTGCAAATAGCTCAGGACCCTGTTCATCGTGACTGGAGAATCATCGCAAAACTTGCACCTATACTACTTATATCTACTTATCTTATACGTTAAAAATACACATACAATCGCCTCCGGAACTGGCCAACATGTCACGTTTCGAGTTCTGTTACCCCCCCCACACCAAAAAACAAGCATGACGACACGGCTGGTGCGGCTAGACAACAAGCCCCCTCTCAGCCGCCCAGCGACTCTTCTGGAAACTTGGCCAGGCAGGCATAGAAGGCATCCCGTGTGGCCAAGAACATCAAGGTCTCCTGGGTTTCCAAACCCCGCGCGAAACGTTTCCAGCGCGAAACATCGCATCGGAATTCAACCGGAGGAAACTTCGAACTTCGGGCGTTAGTTCTTCTAGCATCTTCTAGTATCTCAAGACTCTAATCACATTTTGGCATCTGGAAAACGTGGTTCAAACATGTTCATCTCTGGACTCCCAATGGGCCTCATGGGGCTCCCAGCTTGTTCCGAAAGCCCGTCTGACGTGCTCTGCTATGACGTGCGCTTCACATAGCTTCGCTCCCTTCGCCCTCCCCCCGATGAGTCGCTCCCCGTGTTGTGAGCAGCGGGTGGTGGCATGGCGTCGGTAGCCCGTCTCAAAAAGGGCGGCTTCGCCAATCTCTTGGCCACTGTTGGACTTGGAAAAGACCTGGCAAGGCGAACGGCATGACCTATGAAGCTGATGGCTGATGTGGAGCTGGCTGATGAAGCTGGTGATGGTGCTGTGGGTTGTGCTCAAGTTTGAACTGCATGTTTGCATCAAAATAACTGAGGGTAGTGTGTGTGTGTGTGTGTGGGCCCACGTCAATTTTAAGCAACTGCATTGCACCGTGCAGTAACCGCAAGGGGGACAATCCCACTTTGCAGCCGATCGCCGAAGAGGGCATAGCTGAAAGAGTAGCTGAAATGGACACTTTCCAGCTGCCTTTAACGATAAGGTGTCCTTTCACGACATTTAACTATGACTATATCCCATAGACTCCATATATGGAATATATGCCTACATTGACCCCCCCAAACCACCCCAATGTAGGCAAATAATATGGCATACATGGAGCGACTGGGCATGAGTACCTCCAACAGGTCACCAATTGAAACCTGTTAGGGCCTAACAACCCCTCCTATGGTTTTGAGGGACCCAAGGGCTGTTTTGAGCGGCAGGGTAGATGCCATGGAAGAATGATACTGAGTTTGACCGGATTGAAACTGCATGTGGCTCTCTCCAAGCGAGATCACTCTCGAGTGTGCAAGTTTGAACGTGTTTTCTGGGTGCAAACGGGAGAAGATCTCACCATTCTTTCCGGATTCCAGTTTAATGGGGAAGGAGTGATCGCATGTGTTCTCACCTGGCGAACCCTCCTAAGTGACTTGTTTCAACAAATCACCGGCAACGATTGGAGAGATACTTGTTTAAATCATAATGTGTCAAACTCCCAGGGCAAAAGAATACAGTATATATACCTGGAACTCATCTGACCACTGTTTTTATTTCAATTTCGGATAGTCAACCCTCCAAAGCAGGGTCACTCAGGTTCTATAGGGTATATATACTAAACTGGTCTCCAAGAAGTCTCCACGATTTAACGTCACCCCACCGTAACTTGACTTTTCATTCAAAGGACTTCAGCATCTCCACCTCGACTGTCAGCACTCCTTGACTAAACCTCCACATACAAGTACCTCCTGAGAACCGTTTCCAGAAGTTCTTGAAAACGCCTCGGGTTCTCTGCTGCTTTTTCTGGCCTTGCCCACACCCCCACCGGTTCACGCCGGAGCTCCCGCAACCGTCTTCCGCCCCGGCCTTGCGGCCATTCGCTATGACGTCCACGGAGCCTGAAACTAAGATGCCCAGGGAGCGGCCGAGCGACTTCTCTTTGAAAATCCTCGGAGCTCCGGAAGAAAGGACCGCGCGAGGGGGACCTCGCCGCGCGTTCCTTGAGGGGGAGAAAGACGTGAACCTCTTTTGCGCAGTAACGCTTCTTGCCGGAGTTCGTGAAGTAACGCTTTCTTTTTTTTGGGGGGGGTTGGGTGGCGCAGTTGGGTGGCGCTCCGATCTTGTTCCTGCAGGTGCCAGGCAAAAGAAACAGCTGAGGCGAGGGTGTTTGACTACGGCGTGGAATGCAACCCTTGCGCTACACTAACGACAACATTTTAAGATAGATCAATATGTAATGTCAAAGAGATGCACACCAATTTCTTCAGCCATGAGACACTATAATCATTATACAAAACAACGGGTGGTGATGAAGGAAGAATTCCTGCACCAGCTGAGCTGCTGGTGCAAGTCCCAACACATGCCAAGATTCTTGTGACCTACTAGGAGCAAGAAGCTACTAGTAGCTCCTGGCATTACTACGAGTAACAAGAAGCGTAACAAAGGGCATCGCTACGAACGGAGCGATCGGACGCTACTAGCATGGGCAACTCGAAGTGTGCGCAACCTGCGCCCCCCAGGGATGAACACCGTCGTAAGAATCCCAATCCGCTTCCCACGGCCACCACAGAAGCCCCACAATTGTGGTGTCCTACTCCAGTGAAACACTTTATTTTTTATAGTGTCTATATCCACTGCCACCTTTCCATACACTTGTCATCCAAGGGGCACTTGACCCGGCTCAAATAAGCGCAAATCCATATCTTTCACCAACCTGCCGCGTGCGCCGCAGAAGAAAAGCGCCCGTGACAGGACTCGGCGAGGCCCCTTGGCCCCTCAACACCACCTTGGCCACTTAGTGGCCCCATCCGGCCGGGAAGATTTAAAAAAAACAACCATGAAGGTCAAGGTGTAGAAGCCCAACCAATCCCATGGGTTCTTCAAGAGTTGCATTGACTCCATGCACTCACTCAACCTGATAGAATGGTAACTCTTCTCCCATTCGTCTATGGTGGAAATGGATGTTCCATGGGTCGCCGGGGGCGGCTTTTCTTCACCCAAGCAGATCGCCACCCCACTGGATCTGAACACCCTTCTTGTCTCGCTGATCGCGCTCGAACGAGGCGGCACAGATTCGGTCCAAGACGAAGACCGAGCCCAATGGGCTGATCCCCAAACACGGCTTCTGTGATACATACATGATGCATGATGAAACCAAAAAAACACCTGCATGGTAGATGTCTTGAACTTGTGACGGGGGACCCTGCATGGCATCTCTGAACATGCTCCAGATGGTCCGGGAGGGTCCAATACATGTACAAGTAGTTGTCAAATCGCTGGCAAGGACAGTCCACATCACTTCTCTCAATGCCGGTGACACGCGGAGCCAAGTGACTGGCCAATGAACAGTGTGGAGTAGCGTGAGAAGACCCCGCCACAAGCCAGCTGGCGTTGCAAATACCTCACCCGTTGCGGCAACGTGACTGCAAGGAGATATACCCAAACAAAGCTCTTTCCAAAAATTGATCGAACAAACAATTATAACTATAGACTATAATAACTTGAAAGAACCATGAAAGAAACAAGATCTTTTCATCGATTCCCTCATGAAAAAACCACATGTACTGCCCTCCTCCGCCCAGTTCTTCGCCTTCTTGGAGCGACGCCCGTTTCCGGCCCACCGGAACCGGCCCGTCTCATCGTCCGACCGTGGCCGCCTCCCGCCGCAGACCAGGTCACGGAATGACCTGGATCCGCACGTCCTGCAGCACTCGACGACGGAAGGCGGTCAAGTCCGAGGCGTTGAAGAGCGACTCGAACTGCTCCAGGTCACGACCTGGAGCAGAAGCGAGTCAAAGCGGACGAGGCAACCCCGACGGCGCGCTCACGCTGGTGAAACTGGACGAGACTACCTACCTCTTGGTTTTTCTTCCGATGGCGCCAGATTTTGGGGGTTCACGCTGCATTCAAAGAACGAGGACGTAAATTCACCGACTTGATGCAAGGTGAAATTCACGGACGTCCACAGGTTTTGAAGATCAAAAAAAAACACTTTGGCTTCGTCCATGTTCCGGTTTGTGCAACTTTGGGGCGGGGTCTGTCCTTTTTCAACCCTTTGCCAGCACCGAAGCTGCACGACCTTCTTGCCCACCAACTCGCGCGTGGCGACGGAGACGCGCACGGGCAGACGCGCACGGCTTTGGAGCTGGGTCCGAGCTGCTATCGATCTCCCAGGCATGCAAGACCTTGGCCTCCTCCAGATCGGGAACCCGCACCGAGAAGATCTGCCTGGACCCAAACGCGAACCAAAGCGACGGGACTGCCAGGTCGGACCTGCCTTCAAAACGGTCGGGGTGGTGCCAGGGGGGTCTGGCTTGATCGGCAGTCCTATTCCAGTCTTATGGAGCGGGGGGAGAGTGGTTCCACAGTTCGGGCTCCTGGCCCACCTCCGAAGAGGGGGTCGGTAAAACCTTCTGAGGGATAGGGGCTCGGTAGCTCCGGAAAATCAGATCTGCGCGGTGTTTTGCTGTGGGGCAAAACGAACCAACATGCGCCAAACAGAGATTTCACCATGGCGCCATGTGAACAGCTATGCTAAACCCATGTCCCCCACAGTGCTACCGGGGTATTGTCATAACCAGCTTGCAAAGTCCCAAAACCATCCAAAACCAAACTCCCAGGAATTCGGTCAAAGCATCTTTGGTCCATGCCGAACGCGGTCGGTTGCCGGGGCTCGGAGATGTTCGTCTCCAACACCCAAGCCAGAAGCACCCAAACAGCCAAATAAGGTCAATCACGATCCAAGCTCTCACGATCCAACTGTCTCGCATCATGCTGCTCGATCTCGCCATGAAAACCTATGTCGTACACCACTGGCAGTGGAAGAACTTCTACCTTCATTTGGTGAGTTGCCAGTTTGTTTCCATTGACCAAATTCTTCAAGTTGGTTTCGTATCTTCAAAGCCTGAATTACGGCCTGAACCGAGCAAACCCCCCAAGCAGCCGTTGTTCGTCTCGCCCTTCAAAAGAAAAATACGACGCCTTGATGCTGACCCCACGGCAAACAGCCCTCCAAGCACCTGGAGAGAACCGTACTGGAATTGATGCTGGAGCACATCCAATTTCATCGGGGTAAGCCTGTCTATAGCGATTGTCTGCCCTGATGCGTCCAAGATCATGGCAGTTTCGGAATGAAGTCATGCCGCAGCCCTCAACTAAACAGAATCATGGTGCCACACACCCAGCAGGGTGTAACAACGGGTGGTCCACAGAAACGCGTGGTCCGCATGCTAGTAACGCACAGGGTCGCAGCTACCACGTATCGGACGGAAGCGCCACGTCGCAGGCTGATTTGGAAGTCGAATCGGTGGTGTTTTGGGATGTCCAAATCTTGGGGAAATGAAAGCACCAATCAAAATAATACCAATGTCGCATTGTGATGTGGGCACTTGGCTACAAGCCAACAAACATGAATTGGATGGCTACAAATAAACAAGTATAGATTATAAAACCTACTTGTTCAGTCAGAGTTCAAGTGTCATATATGTTGCAACGCCCTTGACAACGTTTTCCTGGCGTGGAGGAAACAACCCCGGAAAAGAAACAAACAAAACAAAAGTTGCAGAACCACTTCCCTCCAACAATCACAAACACAGAAAGGGTCCATTTTCCTCCATGTTCTAAATCTTGCAGAATTCCATCTTCCAATAGACCATGGGATCCATTTCCGAGGTTGGCGGGCCCGCGGGTATACGGTTGAACCATGTCAAGCAACGGTTTTCCCGACGCACCGACAAACGTTTTCATGCCAACTCTGCAATGAAGTGAGATGAAGTGCATGCACCAACGCGCACCTCAATTTCCGTGGTCACCCCAAACACGCACAAACGCAATCGGAATCGCCTTCCCTGAAAGGAACCCTTCAGTTCTAGTGCCCATAAAGTTAAAATCAAAGGCTTTGCGTAAATCAATTCTTCAGGATTTTTGCTTGCATGGGGCACGCAAAGCTTTTACCGTCGACTTGATGCTACCATGTGAATAGCGCGGTGCCGCATGGATATCTAAGGGCATCTAAGGACACTTGCTATCCCAAACAGCAATCAGAGATTCCCCTGAAATCTAAAGGTGCCGGTGTGTTGGAGTTGTATGTTTCCCCAATCTGCAAAACCTTGTCAGGAACTTCAACATCTTGAGTCCCCCTTGTGAAATCTTCTCCGCTTCCTTAAGCCTGAAGCCTTCTTCGCCTAAGCCGTTCCCAGGTTCAAAACACGCTGTTTCGCCAGGTTCCACGAGTCGCGGTTCCACGAAGCACCTTCCTTGGCCCACAGGTTCCTACGAAGCGCTCCCCGTCTCCCTCCGGGAGCCAAAGCTCGGCCTGGCGTGTGGGCCACGAGTCGTTCGGTAAAGGGCGGCCACGAGTCTAGCGGCACCACTGGGAGATAGATATGGTGAGATGGGTGTGACATAAGTGTATAAATGTTGTAAGTTGACCCTTTTTATTGCGAGTCTGCACCCTTTTTTTTATTTAGAGAGTTCGCAAGCGCTATATACCACGCCATTTTCCTCTGCGCACACTTCTTCTATCTTCTGCAATCGCAGCAGTTGGCAACCTTGGCTGCCCTCAACGCAACTAACTTTCTGGCTTGCTTCACATTCGAAGCCTTGCAAATAGGATGACCCGCCCCGCGCGAAAGAAACCACAAGAGATTCTTCTCGCGCACACTACGCACCATCATGGGGCATTGGTCGATGCTACTTTCTAAGCCAAAGCACGTCAAGGCGCTGACATGGACCCTACAGCCCCACAGAAAGCTCCATCACAGCCAGAAAAGCCAACTGCACTTGTGAAGCCCATCGCCTGGCATGCTGTTAGTGAAAGCCTTGCTTGCAGACTTACGTGGGTCGATGTTTCTGCTGGCATGTGGCCTCAATATCTATCAAGTTCGAAGCACCGCTTTTACCAAAAAATTCAACACTTCAATGGCCGAAAACAGGACTTGCCAAAGGCAATCTGTGAGCAGTTTGTGATAGGCTCAGCTGAGTTTGTTGCTCCACGGCCGCAGCACAGCCCAATTGAATGTAAATACGGAACACTCGGCAAACAGTGCCAAACAACCTCCCCAAATTCCTCCCCCAAAAAACAGTCGGGAGCCATGTGCAACTACCCGTTAAGATTATGATTATAAGATTAGCATTCTCTAAGGGAAAAATATTCAAAATAATCACACACCCCATGACTTGACTGCAAGTCAAAGGTTTGACCAGCAAAACCTTCAGGAAAGTTGCGTTGGGATTGGGGAGGTTCTCCCAGAATTGTCCTTCAAAACCTTCAAACTTTCCGAAACCTTGGAAGCCTTGAAAGCATTTGCCGCCTCTCCACTCTCGATGAGCACAAGTCGCTTCTCGTCGCCCTGCGAATGAGGTGCTTGGGAATTTGAGGTAGGTGAATGGAGGAATTATGACGGATATGGCTGGAAGCCTTAGTGGTGGTAAGTTGTGGAACAAAAATCCATGAATAGGACTCCACTTCTAGGGATATCAAATCATACACCAGAACATACCAGAACCTATCCCGTTTTAAAACGGGGTTACAAAGAGTTGAGAGTTATCCAAGTACAAGTGGTACAAACAAACACGAATGTCTGCGTCAGTCAGTAGCACCAATATAAGAATGCCTACGTCTGTAGCACCATATATTAAACACAATTACAAGCACTGATGGGGTGCCGGTGCGCTCCCATATATGGAGTCCTATACGGTAACGTGTGGAATGACCATGGGGTCCACTCACCCAGCCGGTGAAGCTGATATGCCATTTGATGACGAGGTGGCCTATGCTGAGCCCTTGAGGAAATGGCCTTTTTTTCTTCAACAAGCCGGAGCAGGTTCACCAGTAACAAAAGGCTACCGCTGGGAAATGGTGTGGCAATAATCCCACGGACCTGCAAGAAAAGGATGATGATGATGATGATGATAATGACAATGAGATGATGATAATAAGGGCCACGAGTGCTCAAAGATCTGTCCCATACTCCTGGTCGGCCATCCCTGTGGTCTGGCGCTCCTCTACCTCGACCTCCTGGGTCTGAAGATGCGCTGCTGGTGATCATGATCTCCCTGATTCGGCGCTTGGTTTCTGAACGATCTCCTGATCCTGCCCTGAGCCTGTTCATCTTGCATCAGATCTGGCGCCGGAGTTCCAGCAGCTGCGCGAGGGTGAATTACCTGACCTACCACAACAGCGCCTCCTCACACAGGGATCGATCAAGAATCAGCTCCTATAGCACTCACCTGCATCCGAAACCCCAGGCATTCAGCTGCTGTCGACTGAGGTCCTCTCTGAACATCTTGGCTTGGTTCCTCTTCATGACCGTTCTCTACGCACCTGCAGCTGAATGGTGGCCCAAGGGCTCCAGTCCAGCTACATGTGCTTTGGACATCAATGAAGCTGGAGATGTTCTGACTTTGAAGGAGGGTCCGACTGCACTTCCTGACTCACAGCTGCACTGCACCTCATTCCCGCGACCACTGTCAGGACCTTTCACGCCCGTCGAGATCAAGTTCCCGGACAGCTGTGTCCATTGCTCTCAGGACCTTGCAGCAATGATTTGCTAGCGGACACTGCACCGGACCTGTACCTGAGGAATCACCGTTGCTATGGCACCAACTGGGTGGCACCTTGGATCATCTCATCTGCTACAAGTCCCTGGCGCAGAAATTCACATGCTCCTGTACAACGCTTCCACCAAGTCTACATGGTTGTACCACCTACACCCACCTGGAGTTCCTTGTTCACCATGACTTGCTGGACTTCACGGAGCTGCCCTTTTCTGACTTGGACTTGAACGTGAATGTCATCCCGCGCATCGTGGTGGCTATCTCCTGCCATCTTGGCACTGAAGACTCCAGGACACCATCGACCCGTTCTCATGGATTGCGGCTGGTGGCTACATGATGTACACCTTCCACTCTCTCAAGAACATCATTTGTCAGAAGAGGTGCATTGCAAAGCCTGTTTTCTCTGGTTGGGTTGTGATCCGCACGGAGAACCTCAACCAGTGTCTTGGCTGGAGCCGGCAGATTCTCCACCTGTTTTCTTCGGTGGAGATCATGTTTCAAATTTTGAGATTTTATCCCACCTCACGGTACCCTTGGAAAGCTGCATGGCCTATGGCGACTGCCTCAATGGCTGCTGCGCTGCTGATGCCCAGAGCCTTGCTACCGCTTGGTGTTGAGTTGCTGTGTCTGTGGCAAGACTTCGCCAGAACTCCTGCTGCACTGAGGCCTGAAGAATCCATGAAGTGTTTTACAGCACTTGTAGGTCATAGACCTTGTGCCTGCTTTCCCATACTTCCACATGGATTTTGCTGAGTATGAATGCCCCGGTCACCCACAGTGGGCAATGTAGCATCTACTTTGGCATGGCCAGCGGCGTGCCAGAAATCTGACATGTTGCTGGATGCTTGGGCCTGAGACCTGCGTGGTGCACAGGACGGACTAGGGCGGCATTGTCATGCACGACTCCAGGTCGCAAACTTTGACTCCGGAGTGCGTCCAGAAAGAAAAACAAATGACGATAACATGGCAACCGCAGGAGGCCTCTACAAATTGGAAAGTGACCCATCCAGCCAAAACATGCCAAAGCCCAGCAACCGGCAAAATTCGTCACCCGAACCCCCCCCGTGAAATTCCGCACCGCGATCGCTGACCACCTCCTGGCCAGACCACAGCCGCTCTCCAGGCTGATAGCTGCAACGCCGCAGCAGCGCCGCCACGCGGACCTCACATCGCTGCCACCGGGGCAGGATCGGTGTCTGCCATGGAAGTCGAACGCCGATGACCATCGTCCACAAACCCCGTGGTTTTCACTCCACTTCCATGCATGGTTCATGGAGTGTAGTCTTGATATTGATTCGCAAGCTGTGAGAATGGGATAGGCCATTGCTCCTGTGAGAGATCGGCAAAACCTCATTGAATGTTGCATGGAATCATATGGAATATCTAATGGTTTTTGAGAGTTTATCCAGTTGCTAAAACTGTTTCCCAAATCTTCCAATCAATGGATCCGAGAGTTTCAAGAACACCAACCGTCCCACGCCTGGCCGTGGATCGAAAGACCCTTCAGGACTTTGCTCCGCTGCACGGCTGCTAAGGCTTCATCCTTGGACAAGGGCACCTGCGCAGGGCGGCCAGGGCACTGCCAGGGCGAACCGTCTTTTTGGACGGCCACAGCCGGATTGGAAGTGACGGAATGATCCCTTGGTGTGTCACTTGGGTGATGTCTCCCCTCTATTGATCAATCAACTAGAGTAAAAGGCCATCTGCACAGACACAGGCACTGGAATCGGAGAAGGTGGAGTAAAGAATCGACGCTGGCTCCGCTGGCGAGGCAACGGCCGACCAGGCCATACGCGATGGCCACGCCGATCATGCTACGGTGTCTCGCACGGGTTCCGCGGGTTCCGCGATGGGTTCCGCGAAGGCGATTCGAGTTCGGATCAGCGATTCGCCTCGGATGATGCCAATCCCTTTGATGAATGATCCGTGGGCCACGCTCGAGTCGGCCACGCTCTTGTTTTTTTTTCTCCCCCCACAGCTGAATGGATCGATGCGGCCCCGCCCTTTTTGCGGACAGGCGCCGCCTGTTGGACTTCGTCCTGCATGGGCTTCCCTAACAAAGATCAGCGTGCTTCACTGGCCTCCATGGTGTCTCTGAAGGTATTTTCGCAAATTCGAAGTACATTTTGCCCAACCAGATTCTTGTCACTGTGCCCAGCCACGCGCAGCCAAGCCGTACATGTGCACGCCTTCGACATACTTCGACTTCGACATACTTCGACGTATCGCGGGGGGCCCGGCCTTGATCTGAGGAGCATCCTCATCACTGCTACTCAGGTCAGAAAGCATTGCATCCTCTTCCTGCCTGGTGCCGCTGTGTAGCGCATCGCGACATCCGAGCACTGAATAACCCCCAACTACATTGGTTTCAAAGAAGATGACACAAACCATCACAAACCCCAAATTGTCCTAAAGGCAGATGGGGGTCCATATAAACCACCGACACCGGGATTGCGCCACCTACTCTCAACCTATACGTTTGACTCACGTGCGGCCGCTTCTGATCTCGTCATAGCAGGGGAATATTGAACAAGGGGAATGTTGAATAACACGCAGCCATTTTCAACAAACAGTGTACTTCCACAAGGCTCCACTGTTGATGGACAAAAAATGACAAAAATGCTGCACCACTTGAAATGTACCACATCTACTCCCAGGATCTCAGTTGTTCGTTCGGTGATGCGAAACGATTCCGTCAACTCCATCGATGTCTTCAGCTGCTGCTACCTGTCGTCATCATCTTCTCGATCAAGCCGCTTGGTTGACAGGCCTCAAGCGCGCACCAGGCGTTTTGGTCTCAAAGGCCATGGGCATGATGGGCATCCAACTGGGTTCTTGAAATAGCGCCAATCCGATGGGTGATGGTATGAGCCTCACAAATGCTGTGAACATTCCAAGAAACACGTCTTTTGATGAAACTGCCAGGGTAGGCAATATGCAAAGCATATAAAACTTAAAACAGCATGAGCATTGCATAGATATTGAATGAAGATCATGCGACCATGCATCATGCCGCTGAATAATGCACTCACTGCTACAGAAGCCATGTGACAGCACAGGGCGAAAGGCACACATGTCCAAACATCTTTCAGAAATACAACAAGCCTTCCCCAAAAAAAGAACGGGTCCGACCATTCTCAAAGCAACACACAAGCGCATCTTGCCAACACACAGCCCGTGAGGACCAACATTTTGGGGCAAGCAGCCACCTTGATAATTCCCAGAGTCCACATCCTCAGCTTGCGGGCCGTTCAGTGCAGCTTGGAAGCTGGCGGGTTTCAGCTTTTGGGTGGGGCTTCCAGGTGGCTCCCAGCGGCTAGGGACGGCAGGGGCACTTCATGCTTGCTCTTTCTGGTGCCCAAGAGTTGGTGCTCCGTCGGCTCAGGCCCTTCAGTTGTTTGCGTTCGCAACTCGTCGGATAGACGGTCGGTTGAACTACATGTGCAAAGGCACCCAAATCGGGAAGTGTTGTTTGTTGATCTTTGCGCTTGGTCCAGTACCACCACAGCACCTAACCTGAAGGACTGTGCGTGTCTGGTCGATGGTCGATGGTCGAAGGAACCAGAAGTCATGCTGATTTTTATTGACAAACCCATGTCTACACGCGGCGCTGTTTCTTTTTTCAGATTTGATTGGTAGCACAATTGATAAGTCTAATTCAAGAAGTGCCGCAAGAACATTGACTGTCTCAACCAATCTTGATTCAACCCAACTGCCAATGATGCTTGAAGAAAGTCAATGCATCGATCTGGACCCCTCCACCTTAAAGGACCCTGCCACGCTGATCAACTGATCCAATGTCCACACTACAAGGTTGCAATGAAACACTAGTCGTTGAATCTTCACTGCAGCGCTTTTGGCCTCAGCTAGGCTTCTTTCGACCCACTTCCGGAGACCTTGTTGGAGACGTCTCCATCGCCCCACGCAGTGGAATTGAAATCCCATTGCTTTTTCCCCCTAGCCACACTGAAGGGTCAACGGAATTCGTTCGCAGATGCGCCTCTTGGGTCTGCCCCGAAGAGACGAACATGCGACCAAGCTGCTTCCTCACGGATGAGATTCGCTCGATGGGCCTGCAGGCGTCTTGGGGCACTTCGAGGCGAAGCAACGGTCAATTCTCAGGTTCCATGTCAGTTTGCGCAAGGGTACACCCTATAGAAGAGAGAATCTGACCCACTTGGAACCTGAAAACCATTGGAATCACTGGAAAATCGTCTTCAAAAGGTCCATGCTAGAAGACGAACACATCAATCTTTAGGGGGGTGCCAGCTTGGTTGAGGAAAGTGCTGGCCAACTGTTGAACAAACACCTGCATCACACCAAACGGTGCCCAGTCAGCCCCAGTATCGTCACAATTCCCAAAAAAGACCTCCGAGGCCAATTGTTGCCGCTTCAAAGCAATCCAGCTTCAAGAGTGACTAGTACAACAGGACTTCCCGAAACTCTGGAACCAAACTAGCCACCCGCCAAATACCTGCCAACCGCCGCAGCGGTTTTCACCGCGAGCTGCTCCCGCCTGCTGAAGGAAGTTCCAATTCGACTTTTTGGGTGGCATGGATGGTGCGCTGCTGCTGACAGCAGAACACCCAGGCACTGTCGGACTCCACTCTCTATAGGGTCTTGCGACCGAGGGCTCGGTGGTCTTCCGAAGTGAGGTGCCTGAGGTGCTCTAGTGACTCTAGTGTTTGCCTGCGGCCAAAAAGGGGCGTGAAGGGTTGGGTCCTGGTCCCTTAAACACATGGTTTTTTGGGCGCATCATGGTCTACAAACGATCTTTGAGCCACAGCCAGTTGGACGGTTTCGTGCTCTCGTGGGATTTTGTGATGCCTCCCTCAAAGAGGTGTGGGAGCTGATGCTGCTGATGATGATGATGATGTGCAGCGAGTAAATATCGCATATTGGAGGCTGTGAGTTTCAGTGTGGGGTGCAAGCCTGAAATCATTCAATATCGACTAACCCGGCAAAACGTCGACCGGGGTATCAGTTGATGATGTGTTTGGTTACCATGTTCTTGTCTCGGCTCATGGAAATCGATGGATTCAACATGATTCCACCAAAGGTCTAAGCCGAAAAGCCACAAAGATGGAGTCTGGACCCTGGTCAGCGAAGCAAATGGCTCTGGGATGGACCCCGAAAGACCCCCAAACATTAACAAAAGCAAAACAAAAACATCGGTCAGACTTTGCCTAGAAAAAGGTCGCCTCGGAGACTCTTGATCTGTTCGTCTTCTTCTTCTTCTTCTTCTTCTTTGACTATGCTAATAGATTCGGAAGCCGAATCGCCCACTCAGGAGAGTGTCCACACCCTCAAGAAGTACAGCAGCAGCATCAGCTGCCCTGGCTCTTCTTCAGAACAAGCTTTTCCTTTTCAGTAAGAAATGCTGAAGGCCTGCGACCAGTGAAACAAGGAGGTCATCACCATTGTGAGATCTCCATATTTCCAGCACTTCCCTGCTCAAGGCCCACCGGTGTAATCTGAGAAACAAGATTAATCCTTAATCCATTCTTCTTCCAGTGCAACAATTGATAATAATTGATAACCATTGCCGTTCCTTGGAAGCATGATTATGAATCATTCCTTCAGGACCACAGCCGTTCCTTTTCAGTTAAGTCATGTCTCTGACGCAACGGCAATGATTGAACTGCTGTGCGCGTTGGTGTGCCATGTCTGTTCTGGTTGGTCTTGCCATCGCCACTGCTGGGCATGCCGGTTCGCGGCGGTGTTTTGACCGAGCGAAGACAGCCACATCCGCCGTCCGAAGCCCTCAAAGATGCACACCATAATGGTGTGGCCTCGAATCCGCGAAGGGAAAGGATCGATCCCCTCCCTTGCGACGTCACAACGCGAGAAAGTGCGGCACGTAGAAACGGATGGTTACAAAAATCTATCAACATCTCAATCTGAGGTGCTGTGGAAATCTTTCGGCACATGTTGGCTTGAGGTGCGGCGGTGTTTGTTGCGTTAGATACTTGCCAAAAGCTGCAGCCGAGGACTGTTATGTTATATAAGCTGCAGTTGGGGAAAAAGAACACTTGTCCAAATGAAAAAAGGTTCAGGTGAGCAAAACACTTGCCTGCTCAAGCTACCGTTGCCAGGATGGATTGCCAAAAGCACCAGAATGTTAAGAGCCAGTAGCAGCTAGAGCATCGTCTGAAAAATACCTATCCCAGACGCTCCATGTATGCCATATTTGCCTACATTGGGGTGGTTTCAAGGGTCAATGTAGGCATAATTATATTGTATTATCACATATATATATATATATACATTGTAGAGCCCCTGGCTGGCTTAACGTATGAAATGATTCTGGGTGTTCGTGGGGGGGTGTTGGTGGTGCAGGAAAATTTTCGTCTGGGAAAAAGGTGGTGCAAAAGGAGGTGTCTAACAATTTGCAAATGCTGTCAAGTGAGGTGTCAAGTTAATGGATGTTTGGGGTCAGAAGTTGTTGCAGTTGGTGCAAACGTGACATTGAAAACAACAAAACATGGTGCAAAGACAGGTGCGCAATGCGTCAGTGGCACCACATAATGTTGAATGGCTCAAAACGGGCGAGGCCGGCGAGGCCACAGTTGGTGCAAACCTGGGACTGAACACAACAACACATGGTACAAAGACTGGTGCGTAATGTGCGCGGGACCAATGGAGCAAGCCCTACCTTAGCCAAACGCTGCTGCATGATTCTCCGATGCGTGACTTGAGCCTCTCTCCTGCTCCAGATGCAAATTTGGAGTCAAGTTCGGATGCAGAATCGGACTCGGACTCAGAGGACAGCAAACCGTTGTCCGTTGTGATGAATTTGAATTGAAATGGTGAAGCAGGGAAAGACCGCCTGTTTCAGTCTTGCGTTTCACTGCATGTCCAAACTTCGTGGCAGCTGGAGTCCAAAAGCACCGGTTGTTAGGGTTGCTGTTTCCGCCGCCGATGGTAGTTGATTCAATCAAAAACATGTTCGATAAACATGTTCGATATTCCTTTTCGATGATTCATCAAACAATAGAAAAAACATGAAGGAAGGCAAAACAAACGAGACACACACACACAAGTGTTGCTGTTCTTGTGAAGGGTATGCCATGGCTATGCGATCCATAAGCACTACCACTTTAAACTTTTGGCACCAGCATTCTTGATTTTTCTCACCTCTACAGAGCCTCCACAGTGAAAAAAAAATACCCATTCAAACACCCACCGTGCCACATCCCTGCACCTGGTTTGCCCCACGTGTCCTGTCATTGAACCCCCCTAGACCAATTTCCCACACCTTGGCCCACACCCATTTTCATAGACTTGAA